TGTTTTTCCGCTTTGTGAAGGCAACATCATAATGCCTGCTTTCAAATAGTCGTCATAACGCAACCAACCTATCGACCAGAAATGCGGGAACTGCCATAAGAACTGTATAAAGAATAGCAATGAAGCCGTAAAATAATTAAAGGTAGATGGATAGGTAGCACATACATAACCAATAGCCGGTGGTAATGCACCCGGAATAGCACCAACAAAAACAGCCGCTGAAGATACTTTCTTCATTGGGGTGTAGATGAATGCATAACTCAAAATAGAGATAGCACCCATAATGGCAGCCAACGAACTAAACTTTAACCACAAAATCAACAAGCCTGAAACACCCATCACTCCTGCTGCAATAATCGCTTCGGAAGTGGTCATACGGCCTGTTGGCAACGGACGATCTTTCGTTCTCTCCATTATCCCGTCTATATCTTTTTCGATCACTTCGTTGAAGGCATTTGCCGAACAAGTAATCAATAAACCCGATAACACGAACAAGAAGAAAACACCAAAACTGAATTGGGTATATTCTGCTCCAAACAAATAGCCCAACAAGCCCGATAACACCACAGTTACGCTCAATCTAAACTTAGTTAAGAGTGCATACTCTCTAAGTTTAAACAAGATCAGACTTGATAGTTTTAATGTTTGCGTTTGTGCCACGTACAGTTATATTAAAGCTTATTTATGTTCTTCTTCACCCGGTGCTAAAGGCGTAGTTTGTGGAGTAAACTCACGTCCGTTCACAGAGTAATCGTATGGCCAACGGTGTACTGCAGGAATATCTCCAGGCCAGTTACCGTGCAATCTTGCTACAGGAGCAGTCCACTCTAATGTATTTCCACCCCATGGATTGTTATACTCACCTTCTAATTTTCTTCCTTTGAAAATACTGTAGAAAAAGTTAACGATGAACAAGATTTGCGCTAAGAATACGATAATTGCAGCAACAGAGATAAACACCACTAAACTATCGAATGAACTAAAGGTATCGAAGTTAGCGAATGAATAATAACGTCTTGGTAAACCTGTCATAAAGTGCATTGGGAAGAAAATAGCGTATCCTCCAATCAATGTAATATAGAAGTGAATGTAGCCTAATGTTTCGTTCATGTAACGGCCGTACATACGAGGGAACCAGTGATACACACCAGCAAACATACCGAAGAAACCGGCAACTCCCATTACAATGTGGAAGTGGGCTACAACGAAATACGTATCGTGCAATTGAATATCGATAGAAGAGTTACCTAACATCAAACCGGTCAAACCTCCAGAAATGAACATCGATACGAAACCGATAGCAAACAACATTGGAGTTGTTAAACGTAGACTACCTTTCCAAATCGTACCAATCCAGTTAAATACTTTGATGGCAGAAGGAACGGCAATCAACAAAGTAAACAATACGAATACTGCTGCTAAGTTCGGGTTCAAACCGGTAACGAACATGTGGTGCGCCCAAACCAAGAACGAAATAATAACAATAGCCATCATCGACACCACCATCGCACGGTATCCAAAGATAGGCTTACGCGCGTGTGTAGACAATACTTCTGATACGATACCCATCGCAGGAAGAATAATGATATATACCTCTGGGTGACCTAAGAACCAGAATAAGTGCTGGAACAAAACCGGAGAACCGCCTTTGTAATCTAACAAGTTACCGTTAATGATGATTTGATTTAAATAAAACGATGTTCCCAACAAACGGTCGAATTCTAATAAAGATACACCCGCCAACAATGCAGGGAATGATAAGACACCCAATACTGCAGTAAACAAAAACGCCCAAATGGTTAATGGCATACGCAACATATTCATTCCTTTGGTTCTTAAGTTAAGGATAGTCGCTACATAGTTCAAACTACCTAACAAAGATGAAACAACGAACAATGTCATAGCCAATGCCCAAAGGTCGAAGCCTAACATAGATCCTTTATTTACAGCCTCCATACGCATACCGTTCAATGGCGGATAAGCCGTCCACCCTCCGGATGCAGCACCTGTTTGTACGAAGAACGAAGCAAACATGATAACTGAAGCAGAGAAGAAAAACCAATACGACAACATATTCATAAAACCTGAAGCCATATCACGTGCTCCAATTTGATACGGAATCAATAAGTTGGAAAATGTTCCTGATAAACCTCCCGTTAGTACAAAGAATACAAGGATAGTTCCGTGCATGGTTACCAACGACAAGTAAAACTCGTTGCTGATTTTACCTCCTTCAGCCCATTTACCTAAGAATGTTTCTAAAACAGGAAACGTTTCGTTTGGCCATCCCAATTGCATACGGAAAATAACGGAAAGTAATCCTCCGACAACTCCCCAAAACATACCCGTAATCAAAAATTGTTTAGCGATAGTTTTGTGATCTTGACTAAAAACGTAAGTCTCTAACCAAGATGTTTCATGATGAGCATGATCATCATGTCCGTGCGCTGAATGTACTCCGTGGTCAACTGTTGCAGTATGCATATTATCTATGTTGTTTTTGAGAATAAATTATTTTTTAGTAACACGTACATCAATACGTCTGTTTTGTGCTTTGCCTTCTTCCGTTGCATTGTCGGCTACGGGATGCTGATCTCCGTAACCTTCTGCTTTTAAACGCGATTCTTCAACGCCTAATTTCACTAATTCAGCCAATACATTTTTAGCTCTTTCGTCAGATAATGCCAAGTTTTTCTTTGCATCACCAACGTTATCTGTATATCCACCAATTTTTAATTCAACAGCCGGATATGCTTTCAAAATTTCCGACATGTTTTTCAATTGCTCTTGTGATTCTTCCTTCAATGTAGATTTACCGGTTTCAAACAATAAACGATCGAAAGAGAACCAAGTTTTTTTGTCAACTTTTTTGCCATCATCTTCGATAAAAGAAATCAATTTTGATTCGATACCGTTAGATAAAGCACCTAACAACTCAACACCACTTGCTAGTGTTTTCTTGAAAATACTTACTTCAGCTGTAGGCTGAACTTCTTCAGTAGCTTTTTCTGCCAATGTAGCTTTTACAGTAGATTCATAGTAAGATGTTTGTGTTTTCATCCACTCGTTCTACTTACCGCATTTTCGTGTGAAAATGGACTGTGTTCCGGGTTTACCTACACAATTCTATTTCACGCCTAAATTCTCTACTAAAGAAATGCAAGAGTATTTAAGTACTTTGCCATGGTGGCAAGAAGTCAA